TTTGAGAAGGTTGATTGATTCAAATATCTATTTTGTAAAATTTTTGGGAGTTGGAATCAAGGAGGAAAATGTTGATTTGAATTTAAGAATTAATGCGTGATAGGCATTTGACAGAAATATCTATTAAAAAGAGTTTTATTTAATTATGTAATTTATGAATTCTATTAATTCTTATGATGATACATTTGTTATGGGCTCTATTTTAGTCAACTTAACCTTGTGGAGAATTTTAATTATGTAGTTATTGGGTGGTTAACTGAATTTTAAAAATGATACTGTGATGACTTATAAGTTGTGGTGTTGACTCATTTTAGGATGCACTTAAAGTGCTTGATAAAGTGGATTATAGAAGTATTTTTTTTAAGAGTTGGGTGTGTGTACTCATGTAATATACTTGATTAAAATTTAACTACTTGTGCTTGCGTGGAGTTGGAAAGACAAGTGTAGTATGGACAAAGTTTTGGATATATATACACATACATATGTACATACATACATACATATACATATATATATATATATAAAGTATTGTAAGCACTAAAGTACTTTAGTTATATATTGGATTTCTTTAAGAACTTAGTAACTATAGTGTTGTTATAGGAAAGGAGTTTATTAAATGTGGATAAAGGTCAATAAAATTTTGTATTATTGAATAGGGAATTTGGAGAAAGAAAATCTTGATTGGGGTAGTAAGGGAGGATTGAAGCTTTAAAGGGTGAATTTTACACTTAAGAATACTGCAGGTAAGTGGATAACATCCCAATTAATATTCCAATAAAATTTTCTTTACTAAAATATTACATTTTTATGTAAATCTTTTTACAACAACAATGTGATTAGTAGATATTTTGCTGATTAAAATACTTTATTTTGTGAAATTATCTTTGCCAAATTTGGTAATTTTAGTTAATTGGTAAATACAAGTTTGGATTCTAACTATAGAATTTATTCTAAAATTATTAAATTGCTATGAAGAAAAATTCATGAAAAATTTTATTTCAATGGTGAATATTTTCTTGAATATTTGAAATGTGGTTTGAAAGGGACTTATTATAGAACACTGGTTGCTATTGTAGTTCTGTTAGCCCTTCGTGCCTTAGTCAATGACTAGCTAGTTTGAATTTCGTGAGTCCTGTTCTCATATTTGTTATTCACGGGTTTAATACTTGTGTTTGATTTTTTGGCTTTTAGCCGTATTTGGTTAGCACTACCTTCGTGGACTATGTGTCCACATTTATTTTGTAGCTCAGGCTGCGTTTGGTTACTTACTCTTACGGATTGTATGTCCACGTTTATTTTCGTGGCATAAGCTACGTTTCATTATTTACTCTCGTAGACTGTGCATTCATATTTGTTATTTGTTCTGATAAGTTCCTATAGTTATGAGTTTTTAATTATTTGATGGAACTATTTTTCATTGGCTTTCATTAGTGACATATTTATAATTATTTAATGCAATTATTTGATTTATTGAAATTACATGACAATGACATTTGATATGATAGTTTAATTAATCAATAATTTATTTAAAGTTATATAGAGTCCTTTTATGCCGAAATGTATTAAATATTTGTTTGTGAAAATTGTTATATCTAGCGCACATAATTATGTTAAATTTTTTATATATACATATTTAATTATTTATTGTTAGGATGCTATTCACTGAAAGTTTATTTTGGTCTCAAATTCATTAGTTGATGCTGATCCTATTACTGACCTTTGAAGGGCATACATCTATTATGGGTAGAGTTTTGCCTAGCATTATCTCCTGTTAGTGTCAATATTTGAATTCATGTATTTTGTTTTGGAAGTAAGGGTAGGTGCTCCATGTAGCCTATAGCTAGGTTTTTATTTTGATATATGTTGTCTGATGGTTGGAAGGAGCTAAACTCCTGATTGATATTATATTTTATGTAAAATATTGTGTTGTAGAATTTTCAAGAGATCCTATTATATGGGAGATTCTGTCAAAATTTCTATAAAAATATTGAAACTTTTATTATAATAATTTTTTATCAAGTATGCTATAATTTTCAATACAAAAATCCAATTATGTTTTAAAAATGAAAAGATTTCACAATTTAGGGCTTAAGAAATGTATAATATGGTTCACATTTCGTGCCGGTCACCCTCTATTTTTGGAATGTGACATGTCTCATAAATATTAATATCAATAATTAGGTAAATGTATAAACCAAGAATATATAAATTCAAATAAAAGTTATTAGAAGTTTAAATTTTCTTTTTTTCTGCCTTTTTTTTAATTTCAACACATACTTAAACTTCTTGGGATATATTTATTGTTCAAGATAAAATTCATATATAATAAAAATAACAGTTTGCTTTCGGAGATCGAATTCAAAGAAAATAAGTTTCAAAATTCCTTCTTTAACGGGACTTAATCAGAACAATTAACAAGCATGGACATATAATTCATGAAGGATAAATAACCAATAAGCGTGAATACACAATTCACAAGGGTAAGTCACCAACAAGCGTAGCTTAAAGCTATAAAATAATCTAGCGTGGCTAAAAGCCATGAAATAAGCACAGATATGAAGCTCGTGAAATAAGCATGAGTACGATGCTCATGAATATTTATCCCTTTGTTCCACATGCATTGGCCTATGTATGGAGCTAGCACCTCTTGCAAGCACTTTGCTAGTTAGGTGTACTTTGGTACACCAAAGGCTAACGGAACTGTCATTAGCAACCAGTATTCTGAATTCAGTCCTTTTAATCAAAATCAAGTGTGCATGGATCTAAACATCTATTTTAAAATTATTCTTTTCAAAATATAAGATTCAACTATTAACTTCCCCTTTTAACATTTTTTTATGCACAAATCATTGTAAAAATAGATTTCAAATCAAATATAAAATTTAAACAATAGGATTATTTTGAATAAATAATCAATTTATTAAATATTGGATAAAATAGCATAACTTCTTGATAAAATAGAATAATTTTAGTATATTCGAATTGGATAAAAAATAAGATAAATAGGGAGAACTATATAAATCATAAAAAAAAATAATAGCAAAGAGTTAAACAAGATATTAAATAAAGATATTTTATGAAACAATTTAAGATAATTAGGATGCACTCACGTATCTAAGGGACTCTCAAGAATTTTGTAGCTTGATTCTTTTAATTTTTTACTTTAATTTTAATGATGCCCTTAATTTTCTGATAAATAAATTATAATTTTAAAATCATTTATCAAGTAATTTTTCAAGCATTGGCATTTAAATTCAATTCAAATAATATTAAAGATAATATTTTAATCAATTGTATTTCTAGTACACTTGAGTTCGTTAAACTATTTGACAAATCTTAATTTATCCTCATATTTTCTTATGACTCATTCTCAATCATAAATTATAATAAATTTAATCAACCATTCTTATACTTAATAAAATATGACACAAACACCTTATGTAATCCTTTCTCCTACTTGGATATTTTAAAATTTTTAATTAATAATTTGAGCCAAAGCTTGCATATACTCCTTCAAGCTATAACATGAAACCTTAACAACATTTAATTTCCTCATTCAAACATTTTTACAAGCATCATGAGGATATATAATATCAACTCACAATAATCATCTAGCCATTTAATCAACTTCTCACGTAAGCTTTACCATCTAACATTCAGCTTAGTATCACAATAAAACATGTACAGCATTAACCAATTCAGCCCTTCAATTCTTAAACAACTCACAGCAGCAGCAAGAAAAATCAGAGGCAGAATTTTTGACCAAAAGAGAAGAGAAAATTGAACTTATCACACCCACTCACATGGCACCCACTAGCTGAAAGAAAGGAAGAATGAAAATCAAGCTCACATGCGATGCCACTGGCTGTGGAAGAGCAGACAAACTAAACACACGCACACAGTCAGCCACTAAGCATGAACAAGGAAGAACAACGAATCAAAGAGAAAATCCGACGACACTAACTCTTCCAGCTACAGAAACACAACAGCAAGAGGAGAAATTGAAAACCACTCACCTCACGTTGAAACATAGGTGGAAAATGATGATAGATCCAGCAACCCCACCCACTTAGCCGACAGACATGAACAAAGAGAAGAACAGCAGACACCCACAGCAGTGAAGAAGCACAGGTTGACGATGAGCTAAGGAAATTGATGAGAGGAGCTAAAGGAATGGACCGATAGTGAAGAACTTGAGGAGAGTTATGGCGGTGAAGAGAAGGAAATGAAATGCTCTGTTTCAGCCTCAGATTGTCGAATAAATGGAAAATTTTTCTGATTAAAAACTCAATTGAGAAAATTACCTAAGAGCCCATAACTCTTTTCTTTTATCACCTAAAGACCTGGTACTTTGGAAATTTTACCATAATTAAAACAAATAAAAACCAAACTTTTGTTTAGTAGGATTTAAACTCTGAGCCTTTAAGTAAGTTACTAACATAATTTCACCAGGCTACTACTCCCCTTTTGTCATAAAACTGCAACAAATAAATTAAAATCAATTAGAGGAAAAGTTTATTTATTATTATTATTATTTTTTTAGGTTATTACAAAATGCTTCTCAAGCATGCTTTAAGCCTGATTGATGAAGATAAGGGAACCATAGAACAAGTGTCTCAAGCAGGCTTAGAACTTACATTAACAACTGTAAAATTCAAATAGACATTAGGCTTTGAACTGCTCAAATAATCCTCACTTGAACACAAAACAGAATCATGTGAATTTTCTCATCCTTGTCTCAGGACTCCTCATCTAGCTAACCCTCTCCATCAATTCTATCCCAACCAAATAGTCCAAGTGATCGATCTCTTCGTTTAGCTTGTCCTGTTCTTTTTGAAAAAGACCTCTACGACACAACCATGTGAACTCCAAGAGGTCTTGTCTTCAATAAGTACTATCACAAAATCTCTCACCCGCCAATTATTGAAGGAAAACGAATCTATCCATCTTCTATATATACACTCATACTCCCTTGCATTTCAGAAGCAACACAACAACTCTACAACAATATCCTCAAACGCCTAAATTTGAGGAGTTTCTTCTTATTCGTTTGAACACAAAAAATGGGTTTTCGTTTGCGTGGAATTAGAAGGGCTTCAATTGCTACAAAAATGGCTTCTTCAAAATCAGGAGAAGTACCAAAAGGATATCTTGCAGTTTATGTTGGAGAGGAAATGAAGAGGTTTGTGATCCCAATATCATACTTGAATCAGCCTTTATTCCAAGAGTTGTTAAGCCAAGCTGAGGATGAGTATGGATATGATCATCCAATGGGTGCTCTCACTATTCCTTGCAATGAAGATGTCTTCCTCAACATCACTTCTTCTCTTGATCGGTGCTAGCTAGCTGACAAAGACAAGTTTAACATAGATTAGTTAACACAAATTTTTAAGGAGAAATTTAGATCCATTTTCTTTGCAAATATTTTTGTACTTTTTCTTCCACTTGTTGGGAAGTGCAAATATGTTTATCTCAACGACAAATTGGTGAATAGACATTCTCACGTTGTCTCAATCAATTATCTATATCAAAGACAATGAATTTTTGGTTTAAGAAAAAAAATAGTAATATTCTTTAATCTAGTTATTCTAGTCTTGATTTCGTTATATATAGCGGTATCATTTAGATTTATTTAGTGAATTCCCTTGGGAAATGATCTCCGAAATATGAAACACAATTTCCAGACTTCTACTTTATCTTTAACTTCCTATGTTAGAGTTCCAAGATTCCAAATGGAGCATATTAAGAAGATTTAAAAAAATGATTTATTTGTTACTCATAATATACAACTTTAGATTTCGTGGGAAAACTTAATTTCAAAATAATTGTATTTTATGAAGATGTAACACCGTGTGTGTGTGTGTGTGTGTGTGTGTTTCTGGTAATGGTCTTCGGTGATATTATCTAAATTCATAAAAAATATGTGAACATGGTTCAACAGCTGGTAATTAAGACTGGGAAGGTAATTATATAGAACCTTCTGGGTCCACCTTTTCTTTTTTTAATGGATTTTGGCTTGTGGAAGGGTTCCACAAAAATATTATCACAAATGTCAAAATAATACCAAAATTAGAAGTTCGAACCCTTGAAGCGTTATTGTTTTGTGTGTGTGTGTGGCATCCATCTATTTATATATATATATATATATATATATATCTCTCTCTCTCTCTCACACATGCACGCGCGCAGATGAGTTGGCCTGATAGTTGTACTTCATTTGTTCAAGAATGTAAGACATTTTTGAGTGATTGGATGCTAAAATATGTAAGGTATTTTTAGTATTTTAAAATATAATCATTACATTTTTTCCCAACATGCCCCTATTGAATAATTACTTCATATTTATTTTAGAGTAAAACACCTTATTACAAGGGGTAAGGGTAAAAATAAAAAATAATGTTAGTTTTAAGACAAATAACTACTTTATTTTCAGGTAAAAATACCTTAGATTTTTAAATAGAGGAAATATGCACCAACTGTGACGAATACCGGCTATTAAATTGAGTTTACATATTTTCCATAAATTGAGATGATATCATTGAAGACAAAGACATAAATGATGTTTCCTCACCGGCTCTCCCTGTGGCTTCCATCTCCCTGTGGCTTCCATCCATTCCATGAATACCCATCTTTAATTGGGTTTCCTCTACCCATAAAATTACTTAAATGAAATTAAGATAATAGAATTTAATGAGGAAATTATATTTTTGTAATAAAAAAGTATTATTTTCATAATTCTTCTAAATAGTTTCGTTGGATTAACTTGCTTGCACTTGTATAGAGACACTTTTTATGGCCTAATATGTATGTATGTGTAGAAATGGATATAGTCTCTTTTGTTTCCCTAAAACAACCTTCATTTGAATTTACTGGATCACAGACATATGACATTCTCTTCTCAACCTTACCGTAATAAATAACGAAAGTTTTGGCGCCACCACTGAAAGATCAAAGTGCAAAACATTCATAATGATCGAAATCACAAGAAATTGTCTATTAAAAAAAAATTTCACCGAGACAAACAATTTTACACTTCCCAAAGAAGAGGAAGAAAAAGAGGGGGCAAATCATTACATTGCAAATTATCATCCGAATTGCCTTCTATACAAATTGTGTTAGACTAATCCAAGTTAATGCTCTCTTTCCAAGCTAGCACCCATTGAAGGAAGAAGTGACTTTTAGGAAGATATCTTCTCTGCAAGGAATAGTGAGAGCTCCCATCAGATGATCATACCCAAATTCTTCTTCAGCTTCATTTAACAACTCTTGAAATGAAGGTTGATTCAAGTAAGATACAGGGATAAAAAACCTCTTCATTTCCTCTCCAACATATATTGCAAGATATCCCTTTGGCACTTCACTAGATTTTGAAGAAGCCACTCTTGTGGCAAAGGAAGACCTCCTGATTCCTGGTAAACGAAAACCCATTTGTTTCTGTGTTTAAGAAGAGCATAAGAAAGGAAGTGTTTGAATAATTTTGATGCTTGAGAGTATTTGTGAAAGATTTGCCTTGCTTGCTTCTGAAGGCGTACAATTAATTATGAGTATATATAGATGAATGGTAGAGGAAAGGTTATGTGATGGGGCTAAATTATCGGAAGACAAGGGCATATAGAGATCACATGGAGTTGTCTTAGAGGTCTTTTTCAAAAAAAAAGTCAGGTTGAGATCGGATATGATTGAGGAAGGATCAATTAAGCGAGGGTGTAGACTAGAGACATGGATGAGAAGTATCACATGATAATGTTATATGTCTTTCTCAAATGTCAATAAGATCAGCGAAACTGCTCAGAGCTTGATGTCTATCTAAAGGTTTTTATAATTGTTAGTTTAGTTGGCACGCGAGAGACATATTAACTTTTAGTAGGATTGATGTAAAGAAACCATATAAGAGTTGAATGTCTCACGCATGTTAAGAACTTAAATTAAAATGACAGTTGTAAAATTCTTCAAGTATATTAACCTTTGACTTGCTCAAGTGATCCTTCTTGAACACAAAAACAGAATCATCTGATCCTTCTCATCCATGTCGCAGGACTGGATTGCACCTTTAGCTAATCCTACTATCAATATCATATGGTCCAAGTCCTCTCTTCATTTGGCTCGTCCTGACTTGTTGCTTATTGAAGAAGACCTCTCTAAGACACAACCATGTGATCTCAAAGAGAGCTTATCTTCTAATAGGCACTATCACATAACCTCTCACCCACCAATTATTGAAGGATAACAAAACCATTCATCTATATAAACTCATATAATCTTGCATTTCAGAAACAAAACCACTCATCAACAATATCTTCGAGCATTTGAATTTCAACACTACCTTCACTTAAACACAACATATGGGTTTTCATTTACCTAGAATTAGAAGGGCTTCAATTATAACAAAAATGTCTTCTTCAAAATCAAGCCAAGTACCAAAGGGATATCTTGTAGTCTATGTAGGAGAGGAAATGAAGAGATTTTTTTATCCCAATATCATACGTGAATCAACCTTCATTTTAGGAGTTGTTAAGCCAAGCTGAGGAAGAGTATGGATATGATCATCCAATAGGTACTCTCATTATTCATTGCAATGAAAATGTCTCCTCAATATCACTTCTTCTTTTGATAGGTGCTAGCTAGCTAACAAAGACAAGATTAACATAGATTAGTTGACACGATTTTTAGTTGGAGCAGTTTTGGTCCTTTGCTTTGTAAAAAATTTTGTACATTCTCTTCCTAGACATGGGAAGTGAAAATTCGTTCCTCTGAATGATGAGTTGATGAATATACATACGTTTTCATGTTATATCATCAATCTCAAGTATCCGAGGCATATTCCTACTTTTACTTTTAATTTATTGATTATAGGTAGTGTATTAATTAGCAAGAAAATCAAATCCAGATTTCGCTCTAGTAGTATCAATTTCATCACCCCATTCAATAACTGTATTTTTTTTCAAGAAGATATAACACAATTTATGTTTTTATCTTCAATAATATTTTCTCAATTCATAAAAGTATGCTGTGCGGGGAAACATGAAGAGATATATCTGAGATGAGCATACCCCAAAAAAAAAGTGAGCATGGCATCTATTTAAAGGAAAGTGATAGAAAATCATTTCAGATATTTTTGGATACATACAGAGAAGGTTGTGGGAGGCACTAATGAGGAGATTGAAATAGATAATCTTAAGCCTTCTATAAAGGAAGACTAAAAAGAATACTTATGGAATTTTTGAACAAGATTTCTTAGTTCACAATATTCATAAAGCTTAGTTGATTAAAAAAGCACAATAACATTGTGCAATCCATATATCTAATGTCACGTAATGGATTTATTGTTGTAAAAATATGTGAACAAGTTCAATAGTTGGTAAGACTGGGACCTAAATTGAACTTTCTTGGTCCACTTTTTTTCCATATAGATTTGGTGCGTCATGGCCACTGAGTTAATAATCATGTTTTAAGTCACACGAGATCAATTTTTTTCATAAAATATGATAAACTTCAAAGTAAAATTTAGAAGTTTGAATTATTATTCAAACCTTGCAGCTACATTTCATTATAAATTTATAATCCATTTTTGTTTTTGTTACCAGCATACATCAAATCTCTTATATGAGTATGCATGATAGTTGTATACACTGTCCTTTAACATTGAGTGGTCCTTGAAAAGTACCTGTAAGACAATATCATGTGATCTCTTATGGCCATTGTCTATTGATCGAGTTCACATATTTTCATAAATTGAGATAATACCATTCGAAGACAAGAACATAAACGATGTTTTCTCACCAGTCTTACCTGTGGCTTTCTCGCATCTTCTTCTCTATGAACGTTATTTGAAGCTTCGGAGAGATAGAATTACCTAGCCTTCCATTCATTTACTCCATTAATTCCCATCTTGATAATTAATGAATTGAACTAATAAAATAATCGAATTTGACCAGGAAATTCAGAATTAGATTTATTATCAAATAAATATTGTTAATCTTCTAAGGAGTTTCCTAGGATTAATTTGCATGCACTTATAATGAGACTCTTTGGTTTCCCTAAAACTAAATCTTGATTAGAATTTACTGTAATAACGAAAGTAACTATCTCTTCTCAATCTTGCCACAAGAAAACAAAATTTAGTAAGTAGTCTTTACTAAAAGATCAATGCCTTTTTTGTCAAAAAAAAAGATCAATACCTTTTATAGTCATAATTGATGGAAATCACATGAAAATTGTCTTCTTGTAAATTTTTGACTAACACATAACATTTTTACACTTCTCAAGTAGGGGAAGAAGGAGGTTGGGGGGAATCTTTACATAGAAAAATCATCATCTGAATTACCTTCTAAACAAAATTGTGTTAGACTAATCCAAGTTAATGCTCTCTTTCCAAGCTAGCACCCGTTGAAGGAAGAAGTGACTTTTAGGAAGACATCTTCTGTGCAAGGAATAGTGAGAGCTCCAATTGGATGATCATACCCAAATTCTTCTTCAGCTTCATTTAACAATTCTTGAAATGAAGGTTGATTCATGCATGTAATATATAGGGACCAAAAAACTCTTCGTTTCCTCTCCAATAGATATTGCAAGATATCTTTTTGGCACTTCACTTGATTTTGAAGAAATTACTTTTGCAACAAAGGATGACCTCCTGATTCCTGGTAAACGAAAACTCATTTGTTTAAGAAGATAATAAGACAGAAGTGTTTGAATGCTTTTGATGCTTGAGAGTATTGTGAAAGATTTGCATTGCTTGCTTCTAAAAGTGTGCAAGTATGAGTGTATATAGATGAATGGTGGGGAGAAGGTAATGTGATAGCTAGGAATTAATTATTGGAAGACAAGGGCATATAGAGATCACATGGTGTTGTCTTAGATGTCTTTTTCCTTTTTTTTTAAAAAAAAAACAAGTTAGGATGCGTGCCAAATAAAGATGGACTCGAAAATCCTTTGGTAGAGAAATGATTGAAGAAGGGTCAATTAAGCATTGTGGAAACAAAAATGGATGAGAGGGATCACATGATATTGTTTTATGTCTTTCTCAAATGTCAATTGGAACTAGAACTTATTTTCTATCTTAAGGTTCTTATGGTTGTCCATTTCATTTCTTGACATGTTTGAGGCATCTCATACCTTTCATCAGTCCAACTGAGAGCTTGTTGGAGCGGCATTCTATTGAAAAGTACAAGTACATGTCACGCCCCAAAAATAGGGGTGATCGGCACAGGATGTGAACCACATCATATATCCCGTAAGCCATAAATTAAAGGTTTATTTCATTTAATTAAAATGTACTCAATTTTTACACTGACATTTTAATACTATTAATACTAATCATTATAATAATTATTTCAATATTTTGTAAAATTTTGATTGAACCTCTTCTGTGAATAAGATCTCTCAAAAATTCTATATCACAAAAGTTTTTCTTAAACATTTTATTAATTAAGAGCTTGGCTCCTTCTAGCCAACAGGCAAAATGTATAATAAACTAAGGACTCTAATTATAAGTTATATAGAGCACCTAATCATATATCTCATGACATAATACATAAATTTTACCTTTACATCCATAAGACATATTTATAGAACAAGCTTCTATTCTGTTCCGCAAACACCCATCCTTGGTAAGCAAGACATACAACATCAATTATGCTATCTGAGACCAAAATAATTGTCCAGTGAATAACGTCCCAACAATAAATAAAATGAAAAGTTTGAAATAGTTATGTAAGTTAAAGAGACAACAATTTCTGTAAAAATTTAATAAACTTCATAATAAAATGGCTCTATAAAATTTCAAATAAAATCTCAAATCATTGAACTATCATAGCAAATGATAATTTCACTTGATTCAAGAAAGCACATAAATGAAATAAATATTTATAAACAAATTACTAAATAAAAACTAATAAAATATGAAATCATCAAATGATTGGATTCATAATTATAGAGACTTATCAGAGCAATTTACAAACGTGGACACATAGTCCACGAGGGTAACTAACCAAACGAGGCTTATGCCATGAAAACAAACGTGGACACACAGTCCACGAGGATATGTAACTAAATGCAGCCAAAGCCACGAAACAAACGTGGACACACAGTCCACGAAGGTAATGTTAACCAAACGCGGCTTGAAGCCATGAAATCAAACATGGGTGCAAAGCTCACAAATAACCATCCCTCTGTTCCACGTGCATTGGCCATCGCACAGGACTAACACCTCCTATAAACACCCTACTAGCTAGGTGTGCTATGGCGCGCCAAGGGCTAACGGAACTACCGTTAGCAACTAGTGTTCTATATAAAGTTCCTTTTTAAAACCAATTTCAAATATGTGAGAAAATCATCACTTTCAAAATACAGTTCTCATTCTCAAAATCAAACTCACATGAATACTTTTAAGCTTTAAAACTTGCTAAAATCAAATTTCATATCCAATGCTCATGCTTGTATTTATTGAATAAAAAAAAATTTCAACTTCGAACTCGCATGAATCATTCTCTGTATCTATCCAATATTTGATAGAATAAAAATCTCACAATCAAAGTTCAAACTTAATTTAATTGATCAAATAAATTTCAAAATTTGGTAAAGCTAATTTCTCAAAATAAAGTAATGTTAATCAACAAATATTCAATAATCGCATTAATGCTATAAAAATGATTTCCAAAAAAATATAATATTTTAGTAAATAAAATTTTAATTAAAAAAAATTAGTTGGGACGCTATTCACTTACCTGAAGTGTGCCCGAGTACTAAAGTTAACTTCTTAGAGCCCAATCAAACCTTCCTTCCACTAAATGCCCTATCTAATATAAAAAGAAACTTCAATGGCATAATCAAGTTTGATAAACTCTTTCCAACTCTTGTCAAGTGCAAGCAACACAACTTAATTAATATTATATATACACATAGTATAATTAATCACTTTAAATTCCAAGTTCTCCTATCACCCTTTCTATCAAGCAACTCAAAGGCATTCCCAAATCAAATTTTTAAACATTATCATTTATAATACCATCCATACAATTTCATAGAATGCAACTTGTCTCAGCACAGTTTTATACTCAAAATTCTTCATACCATTCAAGTTAAATTCATGAACAATTAATACCCAAACTAAGTATGTACCTATAAGAGTTAATGAAATTTTAAAAAAAAAAATCATATCCGATCACAACTTAGGATTCCACTAAAATACAATCTCCTAATAAACTTTTTGGTCAAAATTCCAAAATTACATTCATTTACTACTAAAAACTAACATCCCCCTATCAAACAATTCATCAAATATTATGTGCATTCAAACTTTAACCACACGGTTATTCTTTAAATATCTTCCCCAAAATTTCATGAACATATATATATATATATATATATAAATTTACCAAACTTTTCAAATTTCATTCCCTCAACTAAAATCAATTTAAACTCAAAGAAATGCCAAATCTAAACAAATATTTATCATGCAGCCAGCAAAAATATAATATAGCTGCTTGTCAAAGGTGAAATCCTTAATCTTCAACTTAAGCTTGTTAGAACATTCAATAGTAAACCAAAATTTCAACGATAAATTCCTAATCCAAAATCTTAGCAATTCTTAATCACAATACATACTCAAATCTGACAAGGGAGAGAGTGAAACTTGGCTCACCAATAAAGCAAAGAGTACTGAAGGAAGGGGAACCAGAATTGCAGTGACAGAACATGAAGATCAAGAAAAGTAGCTGTGAGCCGAAACAAGGGAGGAGAAGGACCAGCGAATCAAACCTCTAACAACAACAGAAACAACTCCTATGTACACACTGGCACCGTGCAGAAGGAATAGAGAAAGGATTCAAAGCACCGTAGTATAATACGGACGAAAGAGGAAGAAATCGACGGCATAGAGATGAAGGTTGCAAGCTCACGGATCTACTACAGTTGCAGATGAAACGGCGACTCTCACAGAACCTTCGCCGGCAACTAGAAGGACGGAGGAAGAGGAAAATTGGAGTGAGTCTCTCTCCCTCCCTCTCTCTCTTCCCCTCCTCCTCTCCACCGAGAACCAGCGATCATTCAAGAAAATGAAGCAGGGAAGAGACAATCTGATCTCTTTTTAATCTGGTTTATTTTCATTTTTTTTTTTTTAACCAAGGGGTAAACTTGTATTTCACCCAAACATTGGAGCAAAATTAAATAAAACCTCCCTCTTGCACAAGGCATATTCGAACCAAGGACCTGAAGAATTGACAGCACAACTGTCACTAAACCAACAATTCTTCTTGTCTAAATATTTTCAGAATTAATATAAATACAATTAAAATACATTATTATATATTTTAAATTTTTCTTAAAATTCCTGGGTATTACAGTACAAGTGAAGGTTGGCTTGTCCTCAAGTTTTTGTTAAATATTAAGCCTTTTGAATTGTCTTTTACAGAATTCCAATAAGCATGCTTCTTGAGGTGAGGTTGAGTTGTCTAGAATGTTATAACAAATGAAAAATTTTATGGAATGTTGTCTCAATGGGATTTTTCTTGGCTTATTCTTTAGCACAACTAACAAATGAAAGCATAAGTAGGTTACGTGATTTACTTATGAAGCTGTATAAACAAAAGGCATCTTGCTTTTCCAATTCCCTACGTTTCATTGGCGAGAAATTTCTTTACAAGAAAATTAGAGACTCTACCATGTGAAAAGCTTCTCTATTACGTTAAAAAAAAAAAATACATAAGCATGCAAATTTGGGCCTCGTGTCAATGTAGTAGATGGCTCTTTAATTTGTTCCAACTTCCTATAGCAATCTATGTGTAGTATTTAAAGGACTTGTTTACTCGCTTCTACATTATTGTTTTAAGGGGTATGTGGGAACTCAGGTTTCCTGCAGTTTTTTATTTCTAATCAGAAGACATGCCTTCTTACTTTTAAGTTAAATCCATCATGCTCTCTTTTGGATTGATGAAGATAAAGGTACAATAAGATGTGTGTCAAGCATGTCTAACTTAAAATGACAACTTTAAAATTCTTCTAATGGACATTTATAAGCTTTAAACTGTTCAAGTGAAATATACACTTCTTGAACACAAAACAAAATCATGTGAGTTTTCTCATCCATGTCCCATGGACTACACCTCATTTAGCTAACCCTCTCAATCAATCATATTCCAACCAAATGTCTATCCAAGTCCTCTCTTTATTTATCTTGTCCTGACTTATTTCTTTTTGAAAAAGACCGCCGGGACACAACCAAGTGAATTCCAAGAGGTCTTGTCTTCCAATAGGCACTATCACATAACCTCTCGTCCACCAATTATTGTAATAAAAAAAAATGAATCCATTCATCTTCTATATATACCCACACAGATGCAATATTTCTGAAGCAACACAGCTCTCCTACAATATCCTCAAGCATTAAAATTCGAATAGCTTCTTATTCTCTTTAACACAAAAAAAATAGGTTTTCGTTTACCTAGAATTAGAAGGGCTTCAATTGCTGCAAAAATGGCTTCTTCAAAATCAGGTGAAGTACCAAAGAGATATCTTGCAGTCTATGTTGGAGAGGAAATGAAGAGGTTTGTGATCCCAATATCATATTTGAATCAACCTTCATTTCAAGAGTTGTTAAGCCAAGTTGAGGAAGAGTATGGATATGATCATCCAATGGGTGCTCTCACTATTCCTTGTAATGAATATGTCTTTCTCAATGTCACTTCTACTTTTGATAGGTGCTAGCTAGCTGACAAATACAAGATTAACGTAGACTAGTCAACACAATGTTGTAGTTGGAGCAGTTTTGATCCTATTGTTTTGTAAAAAAAAAAATTACTTTCTCTTCCTGGACATGGGAAGTTAAAATTTATCATCTGAATGATAAGTTGATGAATATATGTTTTCATGTTATCTTAATCAATCTTCAGTATCAAACACATATTCTTCTTTTAGTTTTGGTTATTATATATGGGTTATGTATTTATTATCTTGTAGCAAAATTGAGGGGGGAAAACAAATCCAGATTTCAAGTCAATATAATAACTGTATTTTTAAAAGATGTAACAAAATTTATGTTTATGTCATCAATTACATATATTTTCTCAATTCGTAAAAATATGTGAACTGGGTTCATTGTATGGTTTGTAAGACTGGGAACTAAATTGAACTTTCTTGGTCCACTTTGTTTCCTTGTAGACTTTGGTACGTTGTGGCTGGGGTAAATAATCAAGTTTTGAGTCAGATAAGATCATATTTTTTCATAAGAATATGAAAAATATTAATTTAAAAAATTTATAAGTTTGAATAGTTATTCAACCATTGCAGACAGATTTCATAATAAATTTATGGTCCATTTTGTTTTGGTATATATCAACATTAACACTATATAAAGCATAGCAACCATCAAATCTCTTATATGAGCTGGCACGATAGTCTTGTGCACTGTCCTTTAACATTGTGTGGTCTTTGAATAGTACCTGTAACTGTAAGTCAACATCATGTGATCTTCTATGGCCATTGTCTATTGATTGAGTTCACATATATTTTCATAAACTGAGATAATACCATTTGAAGACAAGAACATAAATTATGTTTTCTCACCAGTCCTGAACACCTGTGGCCTTCTGGCATCTTCTCTATGAACTTTCAATGATGCTTTGGGTTCAAAGTAGGAAACTCTCTAAGATAATTATTGAATTAATATAAAATAAATTATAGAATTTTCCTAGGAAATTTTGAATTATTTTTATTATGAAATAAATATTTTCCAATCTTCCAATGAGTTTCCTAGGATTTTGACCAAAAACGGATTAATTTGCAAATACTTATATAGAGACACTTTTTTTACCCTGAAATTAAATCTTCATTAGAATGTACTACAATAATAACGAACATATATAACTTTCCTTCTCAATCTTGGCTCAAGAAAACAAATATTAGTAATTAGCATAAACTTAAAGATCGGCGCCTTTGATAATCATAATAGGTTGAAATCACATGAAAATTGTCTATTAGTATGTCACACCCCAAAAATCAGGTGTGACTAGCACGGGATATGGGGACAAAACTCATATTCCTTAAGCCGTAACTAGAAAAACTCTAAAATTAATATGTTAAACACACTAATAGAGTAATTAAAAATTATTACAATATTAAATTAGATATTTAGTTTTAAAAGAAATGTATGCATCCTACCTGTAGTCTACGTGGAGCACCTAAGGCCAGACGCCAACATAGGTATAAAGGTTAAATTTTCCATCAATTCAGGATTTGACAAAAATAATTCTTCTGCTTCAATTCAGCAATAAAACTCCTCGGTGGATATCTCGAGTCACAAGTTCAACTATATCATCTGAGACCAAAATATCTTTTCCAGTGAATAACATCCCAATAATAAATAATTGAACATGAATAAAGGAAAAGTTTGAAATAATTATGCAATTCAAAGAGGCAAAGATTTCATAAAAATTTAATGAACTTCGAAAATAAAAGAATTTATAAAGTTTAAATAAAATCTTGAACTATTAAATATCATATCAAGTATTATTATCACTTGATTAAAAGAAAGTAAATAAATAATTCACTAATTAAAAACCCATGGAATGTAAAATCATCAAATAATCAAATTCATATTACAGGGACTTATCAAAACAATTAACAAACGTGGACACAAAGTCCACGAGGGTAAATAACCAAACACGGCTCTTGCCACGAAGACAAACGTAGACACACAATCTACGAGGGTAAGTAACCAAACGTAGCCGACGAACGTGGACACCTAGTTCACAAGGGTAATACTAACCAAACGTGGCTTGAAGCCACGAAACAAACATGAGTACAATGCTCACGAATAACCATCCCTCCATTCCACGTGCATTGGCCATCGCACAGGGCGAGCACCTCCTATATACACCCTACTAGCTAGGTGTACCATGGCGCACCAAGGGCTAACGGATCTGCTGTTAGCAACCAGTGTTCTGTATAAAGTCACTTTCAAATTCAATATCAAACATGCAAAAAATTGATCACTATTCAATAAACTTTTCCTTTTCAATGTTGACCTCGCATGAATCATTTTTCCATAGCAATTCAATAATTTTCAAATTGAAATCTCACTATTAGAATTCAAACTTGTATTTACTAATTAACTAAAATAATCAATTCTGGTAAAATAATTTCATGAAATAAAGTAATTTAATCAACAAAATATCTCATAATCACATTGTTGTTGTAAAAAGAATTTTCATAAAAATTTAATATTTAAATAAAGGAGATTTTAATGAAATATCAGTTGGGATTAGCACTGGGCAAACGGGCTGCGGGCCAAACTGCGGGCGAGTTAGGCCAACCCGCAAATTTAAACGGCCTGAAAAACCTAACCCAGCCCATTTTATAATAGGCTAGCCAACCCGTGGGCTAGCCCGAATAAATACACTAAAATTATTTTTTTCCACTTACATAGACATTGAATTCAGTTAACAAGCATTTAAAATTATAAATACAATCATCCTCATCTAAATTGTTCAACAATCATTAATCAACACTTTTTAAGTCTAAAGTCTACTCAAATGAAACAACAAATTAACAATCTACTCAAACTCAAGTGAAGAGTGAAGAAGATAATGCTCAAAATAGCTCATGTTAAATTAATAATGACATTGGAAGCTTGTTCTGCTGTATGGTTATCTTCATCTGATACAATTAATTCAACTTTACCATCATTGTTATCATCTTCTTCCTCATCAGAAGCTTCGCCTGCCACACAAGCACACCTACATAGATCAACAACATATATTATAAGTTAAACATGTTAAACAAATTAACAATAATAAAATATATATTATGAAAAAAATTACCATCATAATTCCATCCAAGCAACCAATTTCTTGTACAAATAAGAGCTTGAACATTCTCTGGAAGGAGTGAAGACCGGTACTTTGTAAGAACACACTAGCTAATACTGAAGGCCGATTCACTAGCTACTGTAGTGATTGGAATGCTCAAGACATCACATGCAATTTTTGAAAGGATTGGAAACCTATGTTGATTATTCTTCCAATAATCCAAAACATTCATTTCCAAA